GGATCAGGCAGAGAGGGTCTCTGGGATCAGGCAGAGAGGGTCTCTGGGATCAGGCAGAGAGGGTCTCTGGGATCAGGCAGAGAGGGTCTCTGGGTTCTCCTCCACCTTGTGGTACCAAACAAGCTCAGTAAAGCAGGAAGAGGGGTGAAGGTTCTTTTTGATGATGCTGGCGTTCTGTTTTTCCCCCCAGGTTGATGATGGTTGGGTACAGACGCCCCCTGGAGGAGAAGGATCTTTGGTCTCTGAATGTAGAGGACCGCTCTCACAGCGTGGTGCCACATCTGGTGCGTCGCTGGAACTCAGAGCGTTACAAGGCCAAGAGGTGAGCAGCGGCATGAGGTCATGTTTGATCATGTACCGGCCTGACTGACTCAACAGGATGACGATGATGATGATGATGATGATGATGATGATGATGATGATGATGATGATGATGAGGGCCAGAGTGGATGAAGGGTCTGTCTTGACTCGGACGATTAGAAATGCTTCTCCATGCAGCTTCTCCTCGGAACCGGCCTGTTTCCTGAAAAAGTTTTAGCGCAGTGAATACTTTATAAGATGAAGTAACTGCAGGACTAAAGCTCCATCTAAATGTCTTCAGCAGGACAGAGCAGCAGATGGTGTTCTCCCCTAAGAGGCCCCCCCATGGCGAGGGCCAGCCTGTGGAAGAGTCTGAGATCCTGCTCACCAAGTCTCCCAGAAAGAGCAAGGAATCCTCCCTGCTCTGGGCCCTGTGCCTGACCTTCGGACCTCACTTCCTGGTCTCCTGCCTCTATAAAATCATCCAGGACATCCTGATGTTCGTGGGACCAGAGATCCTGAGGTGAGGAAGCTGTGGAGACCCTCTGCTGCTTCAGGGTGTCCATAGTTATGCAGAGTTTTCATCCGAATTAAGAGGGGCCTCTGCTGCATCCGTGGCCATTGCCATGGAAACCGTTTAGGTCTATTGCTGATGTGAGGAATCTTTGGTTTCATGATGTTGTCTCTGATTCCTGCAGACTGCTCATACGCTTCGTCAACGACTCCAGCGCCCCCTCCTGGCAGGGATTCTTTTACACCGCCCTGCTCTTTATTTGCACCTGTGTGCAGTCGCTGATTCTTCAGAGGTACTTCCATGTGTGCTTTGTCTCAGGCATGCGTCTGCGAACAGCCATCATCGGCGCCGTCTACAGGAAGGTAGGGTTGTCACGATACTAAACTTTTCAACTCAATACCGATACTAAGTAAAATATTCGATACTCGATACCATTTTCGATACCACAAGGATAAAAACAAAGACTCCAAAATTCTACAGAAATATTTTCATTAATTAATAAAATACAATAAATAAATAAATACAATAAAGGTTGTTTGCTGTGCACAATATTAAGCAAGCTTGATAAAAAACGTATAAAATTTAAATT